TGTGAAGCCTACTGTATTAGTCAAAAGAGCGTGTCTCAGAGTAAGAGAAAAATTGCCATGGAATTTATTTTGAAAAAAAGAGTTGAAGAGGAATGCGCTTTGGGTTAGAAAAGTCGAAAAGAGGGTCGAAGACTATTCGGGTGTTGGGTGGGAGTGGGTGATTTGAGGAGAGGGCACGACGGTATTAGGGAGTTGTTATTGGCCCCCGAGGCCACATGCTATTGTTGTGGCCTGCGTGTGCTGGTTAAAGTGAAGCCGAAGAACCGGCTGACTTTTATGGGATAAACGGGGTAAAGACTATCAGACGAACAAACGAACGAATAGCGGCTACGCCTGTGCTAAATAAACGAGCCTCGGGCGTCGCGGCGCGCTGCTGGGATTTTATTAACTTCTGTACAAGGCTATGGTGTGCTGCGCTACATCGCCACCGCACTAGACACAGATAGAGAAAGAGAGTAAAAGAGTGAGTGAGCGAGAGAGAAAATCTACCCCCCGAGACCGTCCAGCAAACAGCCAAATAAAGAGATAGTAATTATTGTGTTTGTGCGCCCACTGCGGTTTATTTCTTCATTTATAGCAACGCGACTCTGGACTCGCCAATCGTTATCCCCCTCGACTCTCTCGGCCATAAAACCCGAGTTCAAAGAGAGATGTTACTTTTTGACCCTGTGAATAAATGTCAAAAGCACTCATCATCTCTCTCTCTCTCTCTTTCTCTACTCTAGGCTTATAATAATAATTTTTCCACTACAATACAGTCAGTAATTACTTCATTTTTTTTTTTTTTTTTTTTTTGATTTTACTCTTGTTTTTGAAAAAAAATTTCAACTTCTGATGGTAATAATAATTAGAGTAGAAATAATTTATTCGTTAACTTATTAGGTATTTAATACTTGTAAACTTGTTAACTACTTCTGAATTAATTATTAACTTATCATATTAATTATTAACTTTTTATTAATTATTAACTTATCATATTAATTATTACCTTCTTATTAATTATTAACTACTTATTAATTTATTATTTTAATAATTCATGGTTGAACGTACACGATATCTTTTCTTTACATTGCCAACGTTTTTAATAATAACAGACTTTGCATTCGATAATTAATTTTAAAAAAGTAGCAAAAAGTAGATTTCAAACTAAAAAAAAAGTAGTCAAAAAGTAGCTATCGAAACATTAAACTTGACGACAAAAAAACTCGGTTTAGACACTTTAAAAAACTGCCAAAAATATTTTATTTTCCTCACTTTTTCCTAATCTTCATCAGAAATATTTATACGCTTCTTTCTTATCCTGCTAATAAATTTAATTCCAGTAACAAATTTTATAATTCATGAAAGAATTTTATAAAATTTTTTAAATAATTGTTTTCATTCGACTAATTTTATGCAAATTCTGATTTAAATATTTAAATTCCTGAGAAATATTGATTATTCATGAAAAGAATTCAATTTTTAAGAAGATTTTTACAAAGATTTCTTTAAATAATTGAATTCAGTTTTAAAATTTTATGAAAATAGTAGATATTAACTATTAAAATCATTTAATTGCGAACAATTTTTAAAAATAATTCAATTTTACAAACAATTCTATTAAAATTTTTGACAATAATTATAAATGTCTGTGTGGTATTTTATTAAATTTTTTTTGAAAATAATTGATTTCCTAAAAAGCATTTTATTATTTATGAAAATATCAATATCTTGCGAACGATTTTATAAGAATTTTCTAAAATAATTGAATTTCCAAGAAGAAATTAATTTCTTAAAAAAATAATTGAATTCTCGTGATGCATATTGTTAATTTTGAAAATAATTGAATTTTGCAAAGAATTTTATTAAAATGCCTCAAAATAATTGAATTTTCGAGAATAATTTTGCTATTTATCGACATAATTGAATTCTTGCGAAGAATTATTATTTATGTACCTAAATAATTGAATTCTTAGGGGAGATTTTATTAAAATCTGAAAGAATAATTGAATTCTTTGAAAAAAAAATTCAATTAAAACTGTATTTAAAATAATTGATTTCTTTCGAACAAATTTATTAAAATATTTGAAAATAATTGAATTCTTCCAAAGATTTTAAAAAACATTTTTTTAAATAATTGATTTTTTCGAAGAATTAAAATTAAATTTTAAGAGTAATTACATTTTTTTGAAAACAATTCCTGTAAAATTGTATCAAAACTAATTAAAATTCTGCTGTAAATTTTATTTTTTATAAAAATAATGGAATTTTGCAAGGAATTTTATTAAAATTTTCGAAAATAATTGAATTTCTGAGAAGAATTTTATTAATTATGAAAATAATTGAATTCTTGCAAACGATTTTATTAGATTTTTTTTCAATAATTGAATTTCCAAGAAGAAATTTATTACTTTTATAAATAATTGAAATCTTGTGATGAATATTGTTATTTATAAAACTAATTGAATTTTGAAACGAATTTGATTAAAATGCCTCAAAATAATTGAATTTTCGTGAATAATTTTTTTATTTATCGATATGATTGAATTAATTGGAAGAATTATTTATGCAAATAATTGAATTCTCAGAGATAATTTAATTAAAATCTAAAAGAATAATTGAATTCTTTCAAAAAAAATTTAATTAAAACTGTATTTAAAATAATTGATTTTTTTCGAACAATTGCTAAGAATTTTATTAAAATTTTCAAAACTAATTGGATTCCAAAAAAGAATTCTATTATTTATGAAAATAATTGGATTATTGCGAAAAATTTTATTAAAATGTTTAAACTTTAAAAAGAATTGAATTTCTGTGAAATAATTTGGTTATTTTTGAAAATAATTGAATTCTTCATAAGAATTTTATAAACATAATTGTTTTAAATAATTAATTTTTTTGAAATTTAATAAATATTAATAAAAATTTTATTTTAAATAATTGAATTCTTGTGGAAAATTTTACTTGTGGAAATAATTGAATTTTTCGTTTAATTAATTTAAAATAGTATTAAAAATAATTGAAATTCTTCAATAAGTTGTATAATTGATGAAAATAATTGAATTCTTGCTTAGAATTTTATCAGAATTTTTAAAAAAAAATTATATATCCATGAAAAATGTTATTATTAGTGAAAGTATTTAAATTATTGTAAAGAATTGTATAGGTAATAATTGATTTTTTTGAAATTTTTTGAAAATGCTATTCTAAATTAATTGAATTCCTGTGGAAATTTTATTATTTATGAAAATAATTGAATTTTGAATGAATTTTATCAATTTTTTAAAAAATAATTGAATTCTTTTGCGAAATTTTATGAATTCACAACCCAAAAAATCCGCTAAACCGGCGTTGGAGTGTAATTAGGAGAAGAAGAAGACGCTAAGTCAACGCATGTGCACTTCTAATTTTCCCAGAAGACGCTAAGCCAGCGCATGCGCACTTATGATTTTCCTAGAAGACACTAAGTCAGCGCTTGCGCATTTCGGAATTCAGAAAAGACATAATTATTATCTACCATCCAAATATTTATAATTCTGCAAAAATCCTGTTCTATTCAACGATTTGACACTAACTATCTAAAAACTGATACGTCTATCCTAAATTTGATAAAAAAAAGCTACATATTTACTATGCGAAAATAATTAGATTCAAATTCTTGATTGATACATCAAATAATTGAATTCGTTATTATATTTTATTTGCTTTTTACAGAGGGAGTGAGATCCCATAATTTACGTCAGCAATGCTGAGTGCAGATGTCAACGTTAGCTATATATATATATATACAATATGAATAGGCGACATCCACTTTTCTCTGTTCGTATTTTCTACTCCTCTTGCTTCCAACTTTGTAGCTCTCCTACTCTCTCCTTCTCTCTCTTTTACTCCAACTATGTGTATATATTTTATATACATATATTTCTCTTTTTCCTCCAATTTATTGTCAAGTTAACAATGTTACTCGCGCTTTTGAATAGCTGCAGAGTATCATTATCAACGTGTCATTTGCAGAGTGACTCGAGTCCTTTCATATATATTTCGAACAGAATATGAATGTATTACGTGCTTGCAAGTCGTATATTTATTACCTTTCTTTATAGAGGGGACGATAAATATCTTAGATTCTAGGATTTTTTTCTTTTATTCACAATTTTTCGCGATCAAAAAATTCTCTGTATTTTTAAAAATCGATGATTATTGAAATTCGGCATTTCCTTGAGAGAGAGTTCAACGATTGGTTTGATCGTATAATGGACTTAACAGTTATAGATATATTCTTCGAATAATTAAATTTATTCAGACATCATTTTATTTATATTTTATTTTAAAAAAAAAAATTTTTGTATAATAAAAAAATTATCATATATACGTTGTGGTCTTCATCAAAGTCAAAGTTTTTAAAATTTATATCATTTCACAGGTGCGGAATACATAATTAAATTATCATTTAATATTCAATTATTATTTAAACCTTTAATTGAAATTCAATTATTTTTATTAAAAAAAAAAATTAATTAAATAATTGAATATTTCTTAAAATTAAATTCTTATAATGATTTTTATCAAAATTTTAAAAAATAAATAATTTAATTGTTACAAAGAATTTTATTTAAATTTTTAAAAATATTTAAATTCTTTAAAAAAAAATTTAAGAATAATATATTGAAAATAATTATTAATCAGTAGTAAACAAATTATATTAATTTTATCTTAAATAATTCAATTTTTTCGAATCATTTGAATAAAATTTTCAAGAATAATTTTTTTTTTCGAAAAATTTTATGAAAATTGTATTATTAAATATTTGAATTCCTGTGGAAATTTTATTACCTTTGAAAATAACTGAATCGTTGCAAAGAATTTTATAAAAATTTTTAATTAATTTTTGAATTCGTATAGGAAATTTTTTATTTAAATAGATATTGAAAATCATTGAAAATTTTTTAGTAACTGACTTTTTACTTTTGAATTAGTAGAAATTATATTATTTTGTATTGTATAATAAATTAAGTAAAACATTGTTTTTAAAGCAATTCTGTATTATTTGGAGATAAAAATTTATAAATTGACAATAACGATATTATACATTCGATTAATCTTAATCAGCAAAAACATTTTATCCCCATCTACTTCTTTTACAGCCACCGTCACAGTTACATCCAAACATATTACATTGTCCTACACCACAATAAAATTCAATTCCATGTAATTCATTTCCATCTGCACAAATTTTAGGACAAACTGGAGAATGACAAGTAGCAGGTTCATATGAAGGACAACATTCAGCATGACACTCATTAGCAAATAACAAAAATGTTGCAATAAATAACAGGAAGTAAATTTTCAGCATTGTTGGTATTTTAACTCTATTTGTTGTTATATTACACTGTAAAAGGAAAATGCTAAATTAGAGATGATTTCGGTATTAAAATAGATTGAAATTATGATTTAGTAGCAAAATTGGTACTAAATTCGTACCTTTCTTCTTACCGTGTAAATTGCAGTTATTAAAGTTTAATTTTTTAAAATGTTGTACTAATGCAAACGTTTCTTTACTCTTTGACACTTTCTTATATTGCATATAATTTTGTCGCAGTTCACGGTTTTTATAACAAAACGAGTGCAAAAAAGTACAATAAATAACATCTAAAAATTGTCCACATTCACGAGGACATTACATTTTTTTTTTCTAAAGTTTCGATCCACGATATTTTTGCAGCTTTTTATTTACATTTTATTTGAAAAAAAATTATTTTGTAGAATAAAAAAAATTGTCATAAACATTTATGATCTTCTTCAATGTCAAAGTTTTAAAAATTTATCATTTCGCATGTGGAATACATAAAAAATGATGATAAACGTTGTGACCTTTGTCAAAGTCAAAGCAGCATAAAATATTTTTCTTACTTTAACAATTATTTACTTCCTTTAGTTATAGCATTTTTGTATTTCAATTTTTAATTCGTAATTATTTTTTTACCTCTCTTGCTTTTTTTCATTTATACGTTAAATTTAATTAAGTTTTTTCTTCATCCTTTTGATTAATTAATTTTCTAATATTTAATATTTTTCCTATATTTTATAATTTTATATTATAATTTCTATTATGATTATTGTATTAGTCATTTAAAAAGTTTGTGTACACAAAAGTTATTTTCTAAAAAAAAAAATGAGGAATGATAAATTTTTTTTTCTCAAATTAAATGCAGATGGTGTACACAATTTTTTTCATTTAGAAACTTTTTTACTCGGCGTTTAGTTATACCGTTCAAGCTAAAGAGTTCAATTTTATCCAAGTGGCGATTTTATATATTTCACAATAAAACTGTCTACGGATGAAATAAAAAAAAAAAAAAAAGAAGAAGAAGAAGAGAAAAGAAATGGTCTGAGAAGGGGGAGACAGGGATTTGCAGAAAAATCAGAGAGAGGTGGCCACAGTCATTTAATAAAGTATGAATATCGCCTATAACTCCCCTGGCTCATTCGCGAATAATTTCCACTTTCTATATCGAAAAATAATTATACTTTATCTTTGGAGCTCTTGAGTTTTCTCCGTCGCCTCGTCTTAAATCGCTCAATTACATTTCTTTCTTATTCTTTATTCTCTTTGTCATATTCCTACGACTGTCTTCGATCATATTTCTCTCTCTCTCACTTTATATCTCTCTCTCTTTCTCTCTCCTCATTCTCCTCTAACTTCAAGTCCATGTATTAACTTCAAGGGTGGATTATAATTTGCTACAGATGAATCAGATATTAAATTCTACAGAATTAATGTCCTGAAATCAAAAGATAGATTCATTGGGAGTGTATCGCGATTTTTATATTCTTTAATGAATTAAATATATATTCTAATAATATACTAAAGTATTATTATTATATTCGTTAATACTAGAAATCAAAAATCTATTCTCAAAAATTATATAATAAAATTTTTTAAACGATTCAATTATTTTCAAAAAGTATTCGAAATCCAATTATTTTCAATATCTAGTATTTTCATAACATTTCGCAAAACAATTCAATAATTTAAAAAAAAATTGAAAAAACCCATCCAAAGTTCAATTATTTTCATAAATAATAAAATTTCCACAGGAATTTAATTAATTTGGAAAATCATTTTCAAAAAAATTTAGAAAAAATTTAACAAAATTTTTATACAATTTATTCTTTACAATAATTCAATTACTTTCACTAATAATAACATTTTTCATGGAAATTCAATTTTTTAAAAAAATTTTTAAAAATTTTAAGCAAGAATTCAATTATTTCCATAAATTATAAAACTCATCGAAGAATTTCAATTATTTTTAATACTATTTTAAACTATAATTAATCGAAAAATTAAATTATTTTCACAAATGAAGAACAAGAATTCAATTACCATTTAAAAAAAAATTTTCATAATATTTATTATATTTCGAAAACATTCATTATTCAAAACAATGTTTATAAAATTCTTAGGAAAAATTCAATTATTTTCATAAATAATAAAATTCTTTTCAGGAATTCAATTATTTTTGAAAATTTTAATAAAATTCTTTGCAACTATTCAATTATTTTCATAAATCATAAAATTCATTACAGGATTTCAATTATTTTTAATACCAATAATTTTACAGGAATCGATCAAAAAATGTAATTATTCTTAAAAATTTAGTTTTAATTCCTCGAAAAAATCAATTATTTAAAAAAATGTTTTTTAAAATTCTTTGCAAGAATTCAATTACTTACAAAAATATTAGAAGTTTTCACAGGAATTCAATTATTTTTAAGTATTTAAATAAAATATTGTTCGAAAGAAATCAATTATTTTCAATACAATTTTAATTAATTTTTTTTTTTAAATAATTTAATTATTCTTTAAGACTTTAATAAAATCCTCCTCAAGAATTCAATTATTTACATAAATAATTCGTCGTATTAATTCAAATCAATTCTGTCGATAAATAACAAAATTATTCAAGAAAATTCAGTTATTTTTAGTCATTTTATTAAAATTCTTTGCAAAATTCAATTATTTTCATAATTAACAATATACATCACGAGAATTCAATTATTTACAAAAATATTAGAATTTTTCAAAGGAATTCAATTATTTTCAAATATTTTAATAAATTTGTTCGAAAGAAATCAATTATTTCAAATAGAATTTAAATTAAATTTTTTTAAATAATTCAATTATTCTTTTAGCTTTTCATAAAATTCTTCCCAAGAATTCAATTATTTACATAAATAATTCTTCGAAAGAATTCAATTATTAAAGATAAATAACAAAATTACTCTAGAAAAGTCAATTATTTTTAGGTATTTCAATAAAATTCTTTGCAAAATTCAATTATTATCATAAATAATAAAATTCATCGCAGGATTTCAATTATTTTTAATACTTAAATAAATAATAAAACTCATCGAAAAATTTTAATTATTTTTAATACTATTTAAAATTACTTAATGGAAAAATTCGATTATTTTAACAAATAAAATTTTCCACAAGAATTTAATTATTTCCATAAATAATAAAATTCTTCTCAGGAATTCAATTTTTTTTTGAAAATTTTTATAAAATTCTTAGTCACTATTTAATTATTTAAAAAACTGTAATTTTTCACAGGAATTCAATTATTTCCAAATATTTTAATAAAATTGCTCGAAAGAAATCAATTATTTTTAATAGAATTTTAATTAAATTTTTTTAAAATAATTCAATTATTCTTTTAGATTTTCATAAAATTCTTCCCAAGAATTTAATTATGTCGATAAATGACAAAATTATTCCCAAATATTCAATTTCTTCTTGGAAATATTATTATTTAAAAAATGCTAATAAAATGCCATACAGACATTCAATTTTTCTCAAAAATTTTATTAGAATTCTTTGTAAAATTTAATTATTTTTAAAAACTTTTCGCAATTTTACGACTTTTAATATCTAATATTTTCATAAAATTTCCAAACAGAATTCAATTATTTAATAATTTGTTTGTAAAAATCTTTGTAAGAATTCAATTCTTTTCATGAATAATAAAAATTTCTCAGGAATTCAATTATTTAAATTGGTCAAAAGAAATCAAGTATTTAAAATTTTTTTAGAAAATTCTTTTTAAGAATTAAACTATTTTTATAAATATTTAAATTCTTTCATGAATAATAAAATTTCGTTGCAGAAATTCATTTTATTAGCAGGATAAGAAAAAAGTAAATATTTTTGATGAAAATTAGAAAAAAGTCAGGAAAATAAAATATAGAATGGAATTTTTGTTAGTTTTGTGAAGTGTCTAAAGCGAGTTTTTTTTTATCTTCAAGTTTAATTTTTCGATAGCTACTTTTTTACTACTTTTTTTAATTTTTGAAACCTACTTTTTGCTACTTTTTTAAAATTAATTAACGAGTGAAAAGTATGCAATTCCAATCTTTCGTTTTTTGAATTTTGCGCCAGTAGAGTTCGACAAATTACCGCCTAGATGGCATAAAAGTTCTCTCACAAACGAAATGAAGTGAATAATATAAATTTCAATAATGTTTGCAGAACAAATTTTTTCGAGTGATATAGAGGAATTTTGAAAAATGAATTTTTTTTTCTTTTGCGAGGTAATTTATATGTAGAAAAAAGTTTTTGGTGAAGTGTATATTAATTACGAGAACGGAGAAATTGTGAACAGTCTCTAAAAATGAGAATGTTCTCTCTCTCTCTCTCTCTCTCTCTCTCTCTCTCTCTCTCTCTCCTCTGAGGCGTGACTTTTGATTCGCTTTGTATTATAAAACCAGAAACGAATCGGAAGTCCGTTCGTAGTCATTGGCTTTGATCCGTTGCGTAGGTGGCTGGTAACATAGCACGTGGCTAAATGCAGTGGCTCGTTTCAATCCACGTTCTTCTATTCAGTGATGAGGGAATTCAAAATGATCGTGAAATAACCGCTCACTTATATCAATTCACTACTCACTCTTTATCAAAGCGCATTCACGCGTGCTATGAAGATCCCCACACGTGGCTAAGCCTCCCACATCCTCTCTTTCACCCTCTCTGTCACTCTTTCTCTCTCACTTTCGCATTTAATGTCTGTATCCATGAAATGCTTCCTTTTTCTTATAACTCCCGTTCCATTACATTTCACCCTCTTTTTTTTTTCTTTTTTTTTTTTTTTTAACTCGCACTGAAAATGGCAAAGTGATCAAATTAACCAGGACCTTGGATAACAGAAAGGGAAAATAATATTGAAAATTGTGGATGTCTGAAAAACAGGAATTCTAGTCTTTGTAAAGAATTAATAAAGTATGAAGTTATTTTAATTTATTCCTCCATTTACTTATTTTCCAAGTAATAAATAAATTATTAATTTAATTTATTTACTACCCTAAGAAAAATATAAAGTAATTTTCACTATTCTCTTAGTAAAACCTAAACTGTCAGGAATTTCTGGTAACTTTTACTACTTTCGGAGTAAATTATACTAATTTTTTACAAATATGTTCCTTGAATTTAATTTTAATTTTTAAATAGTATCAGGTCCACCCGAACGCTATCAGACAATCTAAATTTTGTAAATCGTCATTAATAATTTATTTCTTTCAAAATTAATATTTTAGATCATCTGAAAATCACCAGAGATTTAGTAGGGACTGAGCTCTATACAATCCTAAAGAAAACAGAATTTTATTTCAATTTTTAAGTAGTAGCACCCTCACCCGAACGCCATCAGACAATAAAAATTTGGTAAAAACGAAAATAAAAATTTATTTTTTCCAAATTTAATAGTTCTAATCATCTAAAAATCACCAGAGTTTAAGTAGGGACTGAGCCCTACTCAATCTTGAAGAATAGACAATTTTATTTCAATTTTTTAATAGTAGTAGCACCCTCACCCGAACGCCAGCAGACAATCAAAAATTGTTAAAAATGAAATAAAAAATTTCTTTCTTTCAAATTTAATTATTCTAATGATCTGAAAATCACCAGAGATTTAGTAGGGACTGAGCCCTACTCAATCCTGAAGAATAGAGAATTTTATTTAATATTTTAAGTAGTAGCACCCTCACCCGAACGCCATCAGACAATAAAAATTTGGTAAAAACGAAAATAAAAATTTATTTCTTCCAAATTTAATAGTTCTAATCATCTAAAAATCACCAGAGTTTTAGTAGGGACTGAGCCCTACTCAATCTTGAAGAATAGAGAATTTTATTTCAATTTTTAAGTAGTAGCAGGTCCACCCGAACGCCATCAGACAATCAAAAATTGTTAAAAATGATACAAAAAATTTTTTTCTTTCAAATTTAATTATTCTAATGATCTGAAAATCACCCGAGATTTAGTAGGGACTGAGCCCTACTCAATCTTGAAGAATAGAGAATTTTATTTCAATTTTTAAGTAGTAGCAGGTCCACCCGAACGCCATCAGACAATCAAAAATTGTTAAAAATGATACAAAAAATTTTTTTCTTTCAAATTTAATTATTCTAATGATCTGAAAATCACCAGAGATTTAGTAGGGACTGAGCCCTACTTAATCCTGAAGAATAGACAATTTTATTTCAATTTTTAAGTAGTAGCACCCTCACCCGAACGCCATCAGACAATAAAAATTTGGTAAAAACGAAAATAAAAATTTATTTCTTCCAAATTTAATAGTTCTAATCATCTAAAAATCACCAGAGTTTTAGTAGGGACTGAGCCCTACTCAATCCTGAAGAAGAGACAATTTTATTACAATTTTTTAGTAGTAGCACCCTCACCCGAACGCCATCAGACAATCAAAAATTGTTAAAAATGATACAAAAA